TTGTGAGCCGGTTATGTCTAAAGGCTGGGAACTCGGGCAAGGTGGATGCTGGTATCTTCATCAGGAAGCTACAGGCTTGGCTGCTAACACCTTCACTACCTGAATGAGTAGGTCCACCCACTGCATGGAAGGGCTCCTTTTCTGAAGTCAGCTGGTGGGAGATACTAACCACATGTATAAAATACTTCTTAGCAACACTGGGTTCGTATTTGCCTAAATCGCTGAATGTTGTAGCTAAACTGACACCCGAAATTAGCAGTTGCAGTGCCCCCCCTTATTAACAGGATTCAAATTAAGACCACAAAGAGGCAGTCTCACCTTAGTCTCAGATAACACCAAGCACTGAAAGAATGTGGCTCAGCAGGACCTATGTGTCCTGTGGATGAGGATGTAACCGTCACCCCATTCCTCCACACACGTTTTCAGTTTCTCATTGAGTTAATCACTTGCAGCTGGCCGTGGCGATGCACCCTGGGATTCCAGCATTTGGGAGGCAGAGGCAGGAGGATTGCTGCAGGCTAGGAGCCTACCAAGTCTATACAGCAAGTCCCAGGTCAGCCAGGGCTGTGCAGTGAGACCCTGTGTCACACTCATGCAGGCAGGCAGGCACACGTGCTAGCACATGCGCGCGCGCACACACACATGCACACATGCACGCACGCACGCACGCGTGAAGTTCTCCTCTATAGGACCTCTATTTTATGAATGCCAGTAGATGTGTAGTATTTACAAGAATGTAATAGGTTGTGAAAGTGTAAAGAGTAAAATAGCATTAGCCTGGAAACAAACCAGGCATTAGAAATGGAGTACCGAGTTTCAGCATCAAGACCCAGGTGATCTTAAAAAACATAACGTGATGCCACTTGAAAAAGCCCATGATAGTGTACAATAATCTATTGTTTAGGCCTGTCCTTCTGTTCAGAGAGACACCTATGGAAAGAGGTAAAGGACTGTCTAGATTTGCTTTATAGGTAACACTGGTATTTTCCAGTTGCTTACAATTTAAAGTGACACATTTGTTCTTTGCACGTGTATATGCATCATATGAGTCCCAGGGATTGAACTCAGGCTGCCAGGCTTGTGCTCTTACCTACTGAGCCATCTCACCAGGCCCCTTGGTCTCTTCTTTTAACCCTGATTAGTGGGATTTAAACATAGTGTACTTGATTGTGGTGTGCTTCCATCTGTGAAAGCCTTTGTGTACAAAAGTCACTAATTTGTGTGTGTGCGCATGTGGAGGTCAGAGGACAGCTTTCAGGAGTCAATTCTTTCTTTCCAAACATACTGGTCCCACAGACAGATCTCAGATCTGCAGGCTTGGTGGTGGCATCTTGCTGGCCCAAGAACCTGTCTTGAGACAGCTTTAAACCAAGTTATACCCATGAAGAGCTCAGGAAACCTGCGCAGTAGGTTTGTGTCATCCACAGGGAAGGAGTGCAGAGCAGCTGTGCCTGCTTGGTGTCCTAGGGTTTCTGTTGCTGTGAAGAGGCACCATGACTATGGCAACTCTTATTGTAAAGAAAACATTTAATTATGGGGTTCGCTTACTGTTCAGGGGTGTTATGGGGTACATTTAATTAGGGGGTTCGCTTACTGTTCAGGGGTATTACAGGGCAATCTTTCTGTACACTGTGAAGATGTGTCTTTGCCAAGGCATCTTCTGATTAGTTTAATAAAGAACTGAATGGCCGACAGCTAGGCAGGAGAGGATAGGCCTACTTCCGGGCAGAGATAGGAACTCCTGGAAGAAGAGAGGTAGAATTTGCCAGAGACATGGGGTCAGTTGGATGTACAGTATGGAGGAAAGTTAACAAACAACAAGCCAGGTGGCAGAACATAGGTTAATATAAATGGGTTAATTTAAATGTAAGAGCTAGTTGAGCACAAGCCTTCATAATTAATAAGAAGTTTCCATTATTTGGGAGCTGGTGGTCCAAAGAAAGACCCGTTACACAGAGGTTCGATCCATTATCACCATGGCGGGATGTGGTGGCATGCAGGCAGACGTGACGCTGGAGAAGTAGCTGAGAGTCTTACATCTTGCAGGCAGCAGGAAGTGGTCTGACACACTGGGCAGTATCCTGAGCATAGAAACCACAAAGCCCGCCCCCACAATGACACACTTCCTCTAACAAGGCCATACCCAGACCAACAACACCATACCTCCTAGTAATGGCACTCCCTATGCGCTTATGGGGGCCAGTTACATTCAAACTACCACAGTTGGTGAGGTTGCTGCTGGCTGCATGATGTCATGAAAGCTGTCTATCCTTTGCTGTAAACCTCTTACGAGGCTTTCATAAAGGTTTAGGGGTATTAGTGAACCTGCCCTGATCACGCTAACATCAACCCAAACGGTCAGGCTGAAAGGCTTCTTTGCCATAAGGAATTTGTAAATGGTGTTGCTGAACAGAGTGCTTTCAGAGTGTGTGAGGAAAGCTCCTGGATGCTGTAAGTTCAGTTCTTTCAGGTCTGTGTGGCAGAGCCTAGGGAAGTGTTGACAAATGCTTTCTGGGACGCTCTGTCAAGCCTGAAATTTCTCCTTTGGTCTCCTTGCTGAGGCACAGAGAGAGGGTTCACCACCAGAGCAAAGAGAAAGGTCGTTGGTTCTTTCTCTCTTGCAAGCTATGTTAGTATTCCCTGGTAGCAGACAGTATCCCACACCCAGTGTAGAGAGGAGCTGTAATTAGAAGTACAGATGTCATGAAAATAAGATTTCTAAGGTGCAGAATGGATCTTTGGTCCTGAAGCTTCCTTAGGTAATCCCCTCGGCTGAAGGAAAGGCACAACATGCCATTTGTGTACAGATACTTGATAACGTGCTGAGTGGTATCGCTTTTCTTTATCTATCACTCAACAGCTGCGAATCAGCCACCAACAGAATACACTTGATCCCTCCAATAAAGCTGTCTCTGGGAAGTGTGGTTGTGCAATGGAGAAGTTAGGGTTTTCTTAGCACCACGGTCCAAGTTTTCGAAAGTCTGAGAAAACACTTGAGTATTTAAGATAAGCCACACTAGCATCTGAACTGCCCTATTTAGCAAACTGTTTCACAAAACTGATGTGTATTTTTAGGCATTTATAACAAGCTCACTAACAGGCCGTACAAGATGCTCAACTTCACCTGTCTTGTGTGACCGATGATGGTTGTATTTTCACCCAGTTTATGTTTTTATAATTTGCCTATTTTAGCTGTACTCTTCTTTCCCCTTTGCTCTGGATTCAAAGGTAAACTCAAAAATTTCCTTTTTAGGTTTTAAATTTTATGTAGACTGGTGTTTTGCCCAAATTTCTATGTCTGTGCACCATGTGTGTGCTTGGGCCAGAAGAGGGCATCTGAACCCTTGGAACTGGGGTTACTGACGGTTATGAGCCACCATGGAGATGCTGGGAACTAAGCCTGGGTCCTTGGGAAGAGCTCTGAGCTATCCACAGCCCTAGGAAAACTTTCTTTCTAATGCATGGCCATCCTGTTCGTTATCTTCCTTTCCCAGGTTGCGCTTAACTATACGAATTATAACAATTTTTAACTATTAATGCTTACTTGATGATGTCCTTTGGAAACTTATAGTGGGTGGAATAAGGGTGTGTTTCCTAGAACTTCTCAGGGTCCACTCTCAGAAGTTGCTGACATCACTCACTGTACAAGAGTTCCTGCAGCTCGGGGTTTCTGACCTTTTTTTTTTTTAGCATACATATGTATGTGTACGCATATTCATTTGTGTGTGTGTCTGTGTACACACAAATACACGTGTGAAGGCCCAAAGTTGGCATCACGTGCCTTCCCTGAACCCTCTCCACTCTGTTTATCAAGACAGAGTCTCTCATCTCTAGATAAACCCAGAGTTTGCTTGTCTAGCTAACCAGTTTGCCCCAGGAACTTGGCTGCCACCTGCTGGTCTTTTACATGGGCTCTGGGGATCAACTCTGGTCCTCACAACTGCCTGATGAGCATTTTATCTGTGGAGTCATTCCCTTAGTCCCAGGTTTCTGATTTGTCGTATAAGTAAGTCTAGTACCTTCTACCCGGTAAAAGCTAGATGAGAACTAATTATAATAATTGTAGTAATAAGAGCTTACTGAGTTAAACACTTCAGTGCCGATACCTGTGTTTTCTTCACATGCATTCTTGGATGGCTTGCTCGTAACTCGCTAGGGTAGGGTCAAAATCCCACCTGTGTGATAATCGTGAGTGCTTTGTATCTGTTAAGAATTGTGTGATTTTGCCTACCCAGGGACACTACCCTGGTCAGTGTTACATGGTAAGACCCCATCTCAAAAAAAGTATGCAGAAAATTTTCAGTATCACATGCTAATTCAAAACAAATCCTATTCACTTTGATGTGTACTCAAATGCCTATCTCATGCAAAGAGATGCAGGCATGATCTAAAAAGTAGAAAATAAGCTCGTGTATTGTATGCTGAGAGGAGCTAACTTCAACCTGTACTGTTTCTGCTACATTGCTTTTATAAAAACATTTAGTTTAAATGTAGTTATGTTTAAAATCTACAATTTACTTAACCACAGTACATGCAATATACATTTGTTTCTTCTCGTGTTTGTTACAGCATTTTCAGGTATATTTCCTGCTTAAATGGCAGCGTGTGGGATAATTTAATATAAATCTGTTTCCACAAGACAGGCATAGATCAGGGCATGGTGTCGATTGGCATATGCTGGCACATTCTGTGGGAAAGTGTCAGGAAAGCTTCCCCAGAGCATTGGAGGTGGGACCTCAGTGCCACCTTGGGTGGCCCCGGCAGCTTTAGTGACTAGTTCACCCAGGCTAGATCCAGTGCAAGAGCGCAGAGTGGGCTGCAGGCTCACACGGGGAGGAAGTGCTCAGTTTGAGTGTTTGATGGGGTGTGCTGGGATGGCAGCATGCCAGGGACGGGGAGTGGCAGTGTGACAGGCGAGGGTGGCGGTTGAGCTGGGTCAGCCGCTACCTACTAACCGGACTGATGTACTTACTGACTTTTCATGGCTTTGTATCTTTCAGGAGGTTCATGACTTATTACAGGACTATGAGCTAAAGTATTGCTATGTGGACAGGAATAAGCGAACAGGTGAGCCTGCCTTCTGTTCCAAGCACGTAATCTTGTTTTGATTTTGCACGAAGCTGCTGTAGAGCGGGGAAGCTTGCTGTCTTTTCTCATCTATCTTCTTCTGGTGCTAGGAATTGAACTCAGGGCCTTTGCAGGTGCTGGCAAGCACCCCTCCACCGGGCTCTTCCCTGCCAGCTATGGAGTTCCTAAGTGTGAAATCTTATCAGTGTGACTCACCGGTTACTTTCTGAGAACAGTATTAATGTCCTGAACTTTAACCAATAAACTAATACAGTGTAACTGGACGTGTGATTTTTAACAATGAAAGTTGAATGTTATGTGCCAAGAGCATGATGCACTTCTGTCTTATATGTTACTGGGTTCTGTGAACACATGCTGTATGCAACTTGACTTTTAGTTGGATAAATTAGGAAACTTGCTTAGTTTTTCTGAGTATAAGTCACATATCTGTGACTTCAGAACTTGGTTCTTTTATGGGCATACGGTATATAAATGTTTATGAGCATTTTATATGATAAAATACAACATGGATGATAATGAAACTGCTATATGTATGTGTATTCCATTGCAAATCATTTATCTGGAAAGCCAGGGACTACAGCTCCGTGAGCAGCATTTACCTAGCTTGTGTAAGGGAATGGATTTGATGCCAGCATTTTCCCTCAAAGAGTGTAGCTAGAGCCTTAATGTTTATTGCTGAATTGAAAGCAACCCCCCAAACCTTCAAAAACAAAAAACAAAACAGCAAAAGCCTCCCAGATACAGAAGAACTCCAGTTCCCAGCACCCTGACTGCATTTCCAACCTGGGGAAATCAGTCTGTTTCCCATCTCTGGAGCATAGTATGGCCATCCCTAGTTGCTGAGGTTCTTTTGGGCATGAGATAAAACTCTTTTGTTGTCCCTCCTGGGGGTCATGAGAGGACACACGTGTCTTTTCATAAATGAAACAGTGGTGGATGTAGCATGTGTTCCTTTAGGTGGCGATTTCACAGCCAGCATATGGCTTGATGCCCTCAGACTAGATTACTTGGCTTAATTTGATTGTTCTAACAGCCCCTCCCACTTCCTCTTTGGAAACCCCACATTTGTGACTCTCAGTTGAATGTCGTATATCCCCAGTTGGAATTTGAGCACGTTGTTAGACAACTGCTCTTCCAGCACCCAATCTGTGACCAGATACACTGCTGAATAAACAAGAAGGACTTGGTTGCCCAGGGAAGTGGGTAGAGTGAGAGCAGAGATTCCGTGGCTTGGAGCTTCTGGGTGTTTGAATTTGGGTCTCATAAGTATTCTACCAGGAAGAGACGTAGAGATTGCTTTCAGTTGTGAGCAGAGGAAGGCATGGCAAAAGGAAGTGGAAGGTGAGCTCAGACAGGTGTGCAGACTTGGGTGAGAGTGCACAGACAGGTGTGCAGTCGGGAAAGGGTGCACGGACAGGTGTGCAGAGTGCACAGACAGGTATGCAGACTCGGGTGAGAGTGCACAGACAGGTGTGCAGTCAGGAAAGGGTGCACGGACAGGTGTGCAGTCAGGAAGGGGTGCACGGACAGGTGTGCAGTCAGGAAAGGGTGCACAGACAGGTGTGCAGACTCGGGCGAGAGTGCACGGACAGGTGTGTAGACTCGGGTGAGAGTGCTCAGACAGGTGTGTAGACTCGGGTGAGAGTGCTCAGACAGGTGTGCAGACTCGGGCGAGAGTGCACAGACAGGTGTGCAGACTCGGGTGAGAGTGCACAGACAGGTGTGCAGACTCGGGTGAGAGTGCTCAGACAGGTGTGCAGTCAGGAAAGTGTGCTCGGACAGGTGTGAAAACTCGGGCGAGAGTGCTCAGACAGGTGTGCAGACTCGGGTGAGAGTGCACAGACAGGTGTGCAGACTCGGGTGAGAGTGCACAGACAGGTGTGCAGATTCGGGAACGAGGCCATAGGGAACAAAAGGGGTGGTTAGGGACTTCAAGTCCCTGGCATTCCAGCATAAGCTCACAATTTTATGGGCTAATATAGACCATACCTCGCATTTCACAAACTCTTGTTTGTGTGTCTGAGGAAAAAAGAGAGTTTGGTGATGTTATATGTCAGTCTGGTTGGGTTGGGGAGGCAGAGAACTGTGACAGGCATGATGACTGTGAGTGAGTATCTGAGTGGTTTAACTGAGGCAGCACATTGCGTTGCCTGGGGTCCTGGACTGACTAAATAGGAGAAAGTGAGCTAAGCACCAGCTTTTGTTCCTCTCTGCTTCCTGACTGGATGCTGTGTAACCAGCTGCCTCGGGTCCTGCCACCTGGCCTTCCCACCACGATGAACTGTAGCCCTAAACTGTGAGCCGTAATAAAGCTTTATTTCCTTAGGGTGCGTGCTGGCTAGTTCTATGTCAACTTGACACAAGCTAAAGGCATCTGAGCGGAGAGAACCTCTATTTAGAAAATGCCTCCATAAGACCGGGCTGGAGGCAAGCCTGTAAGGCATTTTCTTAATTAGTGGTTGATTCAGGTGGGCCCAGCCCATTATGGATGGTACCACTCATCCAGGTGGTCCCGAGTTCTATAAAAAAGTGAACTGAGCAAGCCATGAGGAGCAAGCCAGTAAGCAATACCCTCCCTGGCCTGTGCATCTGCTCCTGCCTTCAGGTCCTGCTCTGTTTGAGTTCCTGTCCTGATTTCCTCCAATTCTATTCTGCGGTATTGAAGTGTGATTGAAGTAAACCCTTTCCTCCCCATTCTTTTGGACATGAAAAGCAGCGAAAGTAAGATACCCATTAGGAAAGAAACGTAAAAAGCCCCAACATAAAAGGTTGGTAAAGAGAAACAGGTTAAATTAAGTTAAAAGAGCCAGAAAAGAGCCCAAGCTAAGGCCGGGCGTTCAAAACTAATAAGTCTCCGAGTCATGATTTGGGAGCTGCTTGCTGGCCCAGAAGAAAAAGCCTGTTACACATGGTTTCTTTGAAGCTAACCAACCTGATGCTATCTCTTTAAAAGTCACACTGATTGTTCTGTGTGCGTGTGAGTGCACAAATGCCCATGTGGTCAGAGGATAGCTGTGACAACCGTTGTTCTCCTCTGCCGTTCGGGTCCTGGGGATGGGCTCACTCCTCAGGCTTGGAGTCGCAGAACCATGCCACTGGCTTAATGATTTTAATACTATGAACAGGGCGTCGGGAAAACTGCTTTCCTTCCAGCGTTTTGGCATCTTTTACTGTACTTTCAGTTTTTCAGGTCCTCCTTATGAGAGTCTTTTAGATCTTTCTGGGGTAGAGATCCTGTAACCTCATTTTAATTTCCGTTAAGGGTTTTTATAAAGGCTTCATAAAGCTTACATTGTTGTTGAGGGTTAGAAAATACTCCAGATCCCTCAGAATATGGTGGATCTTACAGTGGAATTCCTAATAGAATTACTCAATTTTTATTTCAGCAAATGGCCTTGAAATTCATTTAGTTGAGGCTCAACTTTAAATAACTTTTTCTGACACACTAAATTAGAATTGAAAAATCTGGGGTGGAGAATGAGTTAGTGTTTAAGGACATTTTTCCGAGCCATCGGGAGGGCTTGAGCTTGAATCTCAGCACCTACTACATCACTAGCTAGGCGTGAGTGGGCTCACATGCTCCATAGCTCTGACCAGGAAGGGGCGGGGGCGGGGCAGGGCGGGGTGGGGTACAGTAGCCTTGCTGGCTGCTGAGAAAAACAGCTCTGGGTTGAGGGAATAGACTTCACCTATAGGGATGTGGGTGGAGAGTGGCTGAGGACACTGGTGCCCTCCTGTGGCCTCCATGTGCACTCACAGGCCTGCCTACCTATAAATCTGCACATATACATGTGCACGTTTCCCCCCTCCTCGCCCCTACACACACATGAAAAGCAGTTTCTAAACAAAGAGTGCATTGAGGTTAGAGTTGGTCCGTGGGGAGGCAGGGGCAGCTGAATCTGAGTTTAAAGTCAGCTTGGTCTACATAGTGAGTTCTAGACCAGCAAGCACTAGATAGTGAGACTATCTTAAGAAGAGACATTGCATCTTTTAGGGGTACATTTTGTGATAATTTTACTTTGGAAAAAGATAGGTATTTTTGTGTATACTCTGAGCCTTAGGCATAGAATGTATTACTTCCTCTGGGTGACAGAAGTAAAAAAGACAGCACTGACCTAAAAACTTTTCAACTCCGTTACCTTGCAGCTTTCGTTACCTTACTGAATGGGGAGCAAGCGCAGAGTGCGATTCAGAGGTTCCATCGGTTTTCCTTCCGAGGCAGAGAGTTAATAGTGCAGCTGCAGCCCACGGACGCTCTCTTGTGCATCACCAACCTGCCCATCTCGTTCACGCTGGAAGAGTTTGAAGAACTCGTCCGTGCATATGGGAACATCGAGAGGTGTTTCTTGGTCTACAGTGAAGTTACCGGCCACTCCAAAGGCTACGGGTTTGTGGAGTACATGAAGAAGGACTTCGCTGCCAAGGCTCGGCTGGAGCTGTTGGGCAGGCAGATGGGAGCGTCGGCACTCTTCGCACAGTGGATGGATGTTAATCTGTTGGCCTCGGAGCTCATCCATTCTAAGTGCCTTTGTATAGATAAACTGCCCAGTGACTATGGGGATTCAGAAGAGCTCTTGCAACTTTTCTCTGGTATCCATAAACCTGTGTTTTGTCAGGTATGTATTGCTAAGGGTGCATTTGAGATAGTTTCAAAACAGCTGCATGCATCTCTAACCAATGTCTCTACGTATACCTGTTCATCTGTTGTATCCGTGTGACTGTCACAGTGGCGATCTCGATTCTGCTTTAGTCTGTAGATGAGTGACAAGTGAACAAATACTTGCAAATCCCCCATGAAGAGTGACACAGTAGAGGATAGAAAACTTGGATAAAGGGTAAGGCAAGCGCCTACTTCTGTCTGAATGGACCTGTGGTGGGGAGGCGTGTAGAGAAGACCTTGGCCGTCCTAGGAAGATCTCTGAGTTTGAGGACAGTCAAGACTACACAGAGAAACCCTGTCTCAAAAAAAAAAAGCTGCTTATAGTGAATGCATCCCAATAACTGCATAGTCAGCACTGTGTGACTCCTCCCCCAGCGCAGCCTACCAGTTCTTTTATGCCCCCTCCCTTCCATGTTTCCTGTCTTAACTCCTTCTTCTTTTTCTCTCACCCATCATTGGCCAAATTCGTATAGCATGGTGAACATTTTGGAGTTGGACTGTGCACATGTGTTTACATGGACAGATAAAGTTGTGGGACTTTGTAATGTCCAGCGTGGTGCTGTGTAGTATGCACACATGGTGGGGAGCCTAAAGCCAGCTGCCTGACCATGTATGCATGCCCTCACAGAGTCACCATGTCCTGTGATGAGGATGCTCAGTGTCCACTCCCAGAATGCTGCAGGAATATGGTGTATCTCTGTGATGGCGCACATTTTCTAAGAGATCTCCTGAACTTAGCTGACTCGGATTTCATGCTTTGTAACCAACTTCCCTCCTGGTAACTCCATTCTCCACTGGTGACTGCGAGTCGGCTTCCTCCTTTCTGCGAGCTTGGCCCCTTCGGATCCTGCATGGCAGGAGACTATACAGCTGGATGCATGTGTTAAGACAAATGGCACCATCTTGCTTTTTCTCCCATCGTTGCTCCTCCTGTTCCAGCAAAGCAATAGACTACCTAAGACTTGTGTAAAACTAGAATATCTTGTGACAAACCTTTGACCCAATCTTTGCTCAGTAATTGGAGTGGATCGGCTTAATGATGTGCCGATATTGTTGAATGCCGAGAGTTAGTTACATCATGCCGTCACTCCATGTTTGTCCTTAGTTCTCTGTAGCCTATCAGAGCCCTTTGGAGCAAATGTGGGGGACAAAGGCACGTATCACACAGCAGATCTGAACTGTGAACTCAAGGGTCGGCAGGAGCCTTACAGACTACCTCGTGTAGCTGTGTGATAGTAGGAAGCTGTGTGCTGCTTTCTGTTGAGTGACAGCGTCTGCTAAGATGCTTCAGAACAAAAGAAACATCTTTCAGTAGATCTGGCATTGACCCGGATGCCCTACTCTAACACTGTTGCTGTGGTTTTACAGAGATTTGTTTTGGAAGCCTTCAGGGATCTGCTTTAGATAAGGTGTGTGCCACCACTGCTGCTCAGCATTCACTTTAGTCCCAGCACCCAGGAGGCAGAGGCAGGCAGATCTCTGTGAGTTCGAGGACAGCCGAGGCTACACAGAGAAACCCTTTCTCAAAACAAAACAAAAAAACCCCAACCAAACAAAAAGCCATCCCACTGAAATAAGAGCAGCAGTGGTAGTTTTAAATCTGCAGAAATGTATTAAGGCAACCTCTGCATAGCTCCTTATTCAGGGGTCTGCCAAGTTCAGGCTCTTGGCCATGGCAAGTCAGCAGACAAGGGACTGGAGACACAGTTGCAGCCAAGAGACCAAAGGGACTGCTGGTTTGACGGCTGATCTCAAGGTCTGCTTTGAATTAGAGGAGGAGTTGAGGTCCTAGAGGAATATTGGAAAAGGTGGCTCTTTTTCCTGTGCCCTCCGCATTTGGACAAAGCTTTATGAAGGAAAACACATTTTAGAACAGTTGAAAGGAATAAAGATCTTGAAGAGGGAAAAATGAAAAATTGTTCCTGGGTATAATAAGAAAGTAAAAGTTAAGCTTTTAAAATAAAAAAAAATACTATGAAGGACTCAAAGGTGTATGCTTGTAACATTAGCAGGAGATAACAAAACCCGTGTCATAGGGTTGTGTGTTTGTGACTTCTCAAAGACTCAAACTTGTGACTTCTCAAAGACTCAAACTTGATTTTTGTCACATCTGTCACCTTGGAGTGTAAGCATATTAAGATCATTCAGATGTGTTTGAATCATGGAACTGAAGTCTATAGAGGCCCAGGACCTTACTGTCTCCCTGCACACGCCTGAAGTGGACAGTAGAAATAAACCCATGTTCCACAGCGTGTTCGCCCACCCTCATCAGCAAAGGCTGTGTGCTGGGAATGATGGCGATCCAGCTAGGCATGCCTTTCATCAACGAGATTCATTTGGGTGTCCTTGACCAAATTCCTGAGATTTGCTTAGTATGTTGAAATAAAAGTTGACTGTGACTCCTCCCACCGTCTTCTTTTGGTGACACCATTTTCATTGATGTGTAGTCAAATAATCAGTGTTCCATTATCCATGAACCTGGTGACTTGGTTTAAAGTTTTAATTATTTAATTACATTTTCTTATTAATTACTATGTGTGTGCTTCCCAATAAGTAGGAGATTGGTGACTGTTAAATTAGAAGATGAAAAAAATTGGGTTGAAATTCCTGTCTTCAGGGAACAACTGTGTCTAAGCAAGTTGGGGAAAAAATTTAATATTGTCACCAGTACAGGCCAAGGGACTGACTGTTGGGTTTGGAAATGACCACTGCAAACAAATGTTCATAAATCAATCTCAGAATCTCTCTTTAATGTGCTGTGTGGTATCAGCTTGCACAGGATGAAGGAGGTCATGGTGGTGGCTTTGCAGTGGTTGAGTATAGCACTGCGGAGCATGCCGAAGAGGTTCAGCAAGTGGCAGATGGCATTACCGTCAAGGGGAGCCAAGTCCAGCTATCCTTCTGTGCCCCCGGAGCACCAGGGCGAAGCACTCTAGCAGCCCTCATAGCGGCTCAGCGCGTGGTGAGTGGCTTGCTGCTTACACAATCCAGTACCATCTTCACCTTCCAAGTCTGTCTTCTGCTAGTGGTCATTCCCTGGGCTACCGTTTCCATTACACTGGAGACATTCATGTTTTTAAAGTAAGAGTGGTATCTGTAAAACTAAGCCAGAGGTTAAGAGAGAAATAGAACTTACGAAGATGTATTTGTCTTGAGGTGTGTGTGTGTGTGTGTGTGTGTGTGTGTGTGTGTGTGTGTGTGTGTGTGTGTGTATTTAAGTCCAAGGTTGATGTCAGGTTTCTCTCTCAGTCAATGGCTCTCTCTCACTGAATCCAGAGTGCACTCATACCAGCTAGCCTGGCTAGCCAGCTTGTCCTGGAGCTCTCTGTCTGCTTCCCAAGTGCTGGGATTACAGGTGGCCATCACATCTGCCTAGTCTTTACATGTGTTGTAGGGAGCCAAACTTCAGTCTTCAAACTGCAGGGGCTTTATCTTCCAAGCCACTATCTGGAGTAATTTTTGAGGGAGTTTCATTCATTCAGCAAGTATTTGAATTACTGTCTGCTGTAAGTTTTGAGTTCCATGCTTCTTTTTTCCAGGAGTTGTCATAATATAGGTCCTCATGGTGTGTGATCCCCACAGTGTGTGGCGCCCATGGTGTGTGGTCCCCATCGAAGGAAGATGTCTGTCTATTTTTCTGCTAACATGGCACTGAATTCTCACCTCTTCCCTGTGGTTTTCCCTAGCCTGAAGGTCCCTTAGATAATGGGCGAGGCCTCCAGTTTTCACCTCAGCACAGCACATATTTTGATGGTTTAGAGAAGGAAGGGGATACTCTTTGGGAAGAATCGAGACAAACTCCATGATGAAGATGACATTTGAGTGGGACATTAAGGAACGGGTGAGGTACTGACATGTGTTGATGGGGGTGGAGGATAGAATTGTCAAATAACAACAGATTTTGCATGAGACATACTCCTATTAAAATTATTCATTATCTGAACCCCAAGTTTCACTGACCATCTGTGTTCTTCATTGGATCTGGTGACCCTGAGGAGGCTGTAGGCTGAGCCATAGTCTGAGCTGGATTAACTGTTTGGAGAGGGGTAAGTGTTCAGGTTGAACGGCCTGTGTGGAGAAGTACAGCCAAGCGGTAGGTTGACGCTAAAGAGCGTGGCAGGGACAAAGGACTTAGATTGAGGTTAGCACCAGAGAACTCACAGGCGATAGTCAAGCCACAGGGAAGTCAGCCCAGGTAGGTTAGAGATGAGCAGAGAGAGAAGAGCAGAGGAGAAAGGTGCGGTGGGTGGGAGGCAGCCATTACCCCTGGACTTTATCTGTGACCCTGGGTTGGCGTCCTTGGGTTCTTACTCCCAGAAGCCACTACTTCAGCAGTTTGTTCTCTATCCACTTTCCTTCCCTCTGCTTAACTAGTGGCTTTACTCAGTTGGAATTGCTGAGTTTACAATCTGAACCAATCCAGTCACGCATTTCTGAAGCCAGGACACTGTTGTGTCATCATGGATGTGAAATGGACAGCCGGGTGGTTTGGTGTCCCTGCATATGAGTGGCACGTGGCTTTGCTGACCCCTGCCAGTCTTCAGTTTGTCCCTGCTTTCTCCTTCAGTTTTCTGAAACCTGTACTTGTGGGCAGTGGTGGTGCACACCTTTAATCCCAGCACTCAGGAGGCAGAGGCAGGCAGATCTTTGTGAGTTTGAGGCCACCCTGGTCTGCAGAGTGAGTTCTCTCCATCTCGCCAGTCCCTATAGGGGCTTCTTAATATTCGGGTCTGTTAAGCACTCTCCAGTGTTTGGTTGTGAGGTCTCTGCAACATTTTAAAACTTTCTCTTCTTCTGTGAATTCTGGTACACTATTCTTTTTCCTGTCTCTTCTTGCCCGTCTTGGTTCTACCCCTGAAGGCTGGCATCAGTGGGTTCTGTATTCAGTTTTCCCATTTCCTTCCTCTTATAGACTCCAGGTCCTACTCATTAATGATGAATTTCATGCGTCTGATCAGTCAATCTGTATTTCCAGTGGTTGAAAAGAATTGAGGCAATGACCTACCGCCACGTTAAATCCGTAGCTCAGTTTCAGCGTTTCTAAGGAAAATTGCTTTTCTCTTACACTCACTTTTTAGCGTTCTGTAATAACTATATGGCATAACGCAAAACGTGAAGCACAGACCCGGTTATTCATCACTGGCCCCCTTCAGCAAACCCCAAATACGCTGTCTCTTCTCCCTGTGTCATCAGAGTAATGCCCTCCTCAGTCCCGATGCCATTAGTCTTTTCCTTCTAATCCATGGGGCACAAGCGTTAATCCCTTTCCCCTTAGACTAGATTATATCACTCTCCCTTCTTGTCTTTAATGGTGCATATTGAATGTATATCTCAGTGTGACATATGAGACCTTCATGAGCAGGTAGCAGGAATAGTGGGAGAGCTTTTTTTTTAAGTCTTTTTGGTTTTTTTGGAACTCACTCTGACGTCCAGGCTGGCTTGAACTTGTATAGATCCACCTGCCTCTGCCTTCTGAGTGCTGGGATTAAAAGCGTGCTCCCCCACTACCTGGTGGTTTTTTTTTTAAACTTAAAAGTAAAGTTGTGCGGATAGTGTGTGTGTGTGTGTGTGTGTGTGTGTGTGTGTGTGTGTGTTTTTTGTGAACTCTTGGTGCATATCTTTTACCAAGTTTCTGAAATTTGAATAAAAAAAGGAGGTGCTAAAAATTTTAAAGTATTTCTGTAAAGGTTGGGATAAACATGTGACTCACACTGAGTGACTGATACCCGGTCTTATTCTGCTTTCATGGTAAATACCATTACCAGAAGCAAACTCGGGGAGGGAAGGGTTTCTTTGGCTTACTGCTTACTGTCCGTGGGGGCGAGGGGGAGGACTCGAGGCAGGAACCTGGAGGCAGGAACTGAATGAAGTAGATGCCGTGAGTAGTGCTGCTCACTGGTTGGCCCTCCATGGCTTGCTCAGCCTGCTTTCTTATACTCACAGGACCACCTGCCCATAGGGCTGGGCCCTCCCACGTAAATCACTAATCAAAGTGCGCTACAGACTTGTCTACAGCCTGTAAGATGGAGGTGTCTTCTTAATTGAGCTGCTTCTCAGAAAATTCCAGATTGTATCAAGCTGACAGAAAAACTAACACACAGATGGGAAATCACTGAAGGATTTGTTTATGGAATCCATCCTTTTAATTAAAATTCTTTAGTGTAGGAAAAATAATTGGTTTCATTATGACATTTTCTTACATGACATTGTTTTTGCTCATCTTCCTCATCTGTTCTTATCCCCCCATCATAGGTCCCCCCAGTCGTGGGTCCTCTACATAGTGCCCCTCTGCCTGCCTGCCTTTCTTTCTTTCTTTCTTTCTTTCTTTCTTTCTTTCTTTCTTTCTTTCTTTCTTTCTTTCTTTCTTTCTTTCTTTCTTTTTTCATTCGTTCGTTCGTTCGTTCATTCATTCATTCATTCATTCATGTGTGTTTAAATCTAGTTGCCCCGTATGGAAGAAAACATGCAGTGTTTTCTTCTTTGTCCCTTTTTCCCTTTCTTCCCCCACATCAGTGCCTCCTCCCCTGGTCCCCCTTGTGTGCTCGTTTCTTGTTTTTGCTATAACTCTAGTTGGTCACAGCTTTTTCCAGAGTCACTATTTAATTTGATTTAATATCTTTATTTGGCACACTTTTGGAGATGTTCTCAGAAGTGGCGGGCACTTTTTTAAAACACGATCACTACTTAATCTTGGAACTGAGACAACACTGACCACACTGTCATTGAGTGGTTTTAGCCTTTTTCCTCTCCCTGTCTATTTCAAGATCAGTTTGTGTAATGCAAAGCCGTCTGCTCTTCAGGAAGCTGAGTGTCTGTCTGTGGAGCCAGGTGGACCATGCTTGGGCCTCTCCCAAAGGGGCCGTTGATTACCTCGGAGCTCCATCTGTGGCCATTTGGTTTCCTCTCCTTTCTCTGCTACAATTGACTGCTGTACAAGTTTGTCTCTTCCTTCTGTGTCTTCAGCATTTGATATGTACAGATTTATAGGCATTTTAAGATGTCACACACTTTCCTCCTTTTCATTCTGTGTGATTCTGAGTGTTCTAGTTTGTCCTTCCAAAGTACCAACTTTTGTTTTTCTCGCTGTTTCTAAATTTTCCTCTTTTGCTTATTTCTGCCTTTATCTTTACAATTTCCTTATTTCTGCTTAGCATTTACTTTTTCCTCTCTTTGTTGATTCTGGGGGTAGTAGATTAATTTTTTTTACTATCTTTATTGCTGTTGATGCTTAACTCTTTCTGAATGTTTTGTTTTTGTTTGCTTGTTTGTATTTTGTGCTGGGAATTTAACTCAGGGTCTTATATATGATAGGTTCTCTGCCACTGAGTTACATTCCAAGCCCCTAGTTTTTTTCTTTTTTCTTATTTTATGATAAGTACATTTATAGACTGGTATGATATTGTGGGAAGCTGAAACAGGAGAATTGCCATGAGTGCTAGGCCACCCTAGACTACATAGTGAATTCCACACAAGCCAGAACTATGTAATAAGGCTGTCTCAAAAAACATAATGAATAAATAATAGAGATAAGTACATTTATAGGTTTCCTTCTAACAAATGCTGTATTCATATGTCATAAATCTTGAGGTGTGAATGTTTTGATTTTTTATGATTTTTTAAAAAAGATTATTTTACTTCATGCAATGGAAGGTTTTGCTCTCATGTGTGTATGTGGTACATGAGCATGTCTGGTCCCCACAGAGGCCAGAAGAGGGAGTCGGATTCCCTGGAACTGGAGTTTCAGACAGCTGCGAGCTGCCATTTGGGTGGGAGTCAAACCCTGATCCTCTGGAAGAGCAGTGCTGTCACCACTGGGCCATGTCTCAAGCACCTTGTCTGTTTGCTGCTTTTGGTTTGCATACAAACTATTTAATTGTGACATTTTCATATGTTATTATTTGCACCCATGAGCCCTCTTCCTGTAAATTGGCTCTGCTTCCTTCTCCAAATAGTAACCTGTGT